GATTGGCTTGCAGAAGTATGGCTCTAAGCCAGATGTTTTTTCGTCTTTTTTTCTATCAGTGATTGATGGTTTAGACTTCCTGAAAAAGGAGAACGCAGGTGCTCGGGACAGCATCCGGTATCTGGAGGCAGAATTTAAAAAGGGAAACAGGTGAGAGCGGGAGAGTGATGCGGTTTGCCCTTGCTTTTGGAGTGGGTGTATTTTGGGCTGGAAGAAGATGTCAATGGTGGGAGCGGGCTGTGCATCCCTTGGAGCCGAGTGAGGAGTGGGCCAAGGGAAAGCCAGGCCTCAGGAATGCGCTTGGTGAGACCGAAGGTGGTGAAGTAACAGGTTTGGCAGCTGGTTCTCCAGATGCACTTGTAGTTGCTGCTCGGCCATGAAATGTAGCTGCTTCTGAGGAGCGGAGGGAGCTGCATCTCTTTATCAGTGGATAGAACTGAGCCGTCCCTTTTAGTGATGCACTGGGAGTGCTGGAAGAGCCGTGCTGCATCACTGCCCAGGTTCACTGTAGCAGGACAAGCAGCTGTCCTGCTGTGAAGACAAACCACCTTCAGGGCTGGTGGGCTTTGAGACACGCGTGGTATTGTGAACTTCGCAGAGTGATGGTGATGAGACAGGGGGCTGATCTAAGGGATTTCGCAGGGGATTGCTTGAGCGGGTTGATTAAAGCCAGCGTTGCGAAAGGGTCCTGCAGCACTTGGTGGACCTGCTGTAGAGCGTTGGCTTCAGTCGGTGTGACGGTCTCCCTGTGAGCTCAGTGGCTCTCATCTTCCCTTAGGTACATTCGTTGCCAGAAAGATGTTGGGAAGAACTTTGAGAGGCATAAATTGAAGAGACAAGATTTAGATGCCTGGTAAGATGACAGCATCTGGAGAGGTCCTAGCCTGATTCCCAGCAGGCAGGTGGCTTTGGGGAGAGGTTTTAGTGCTGGGACCCGTGGTGCAGCTTGCTTGATCGGATGCTCTGTGAGTAGTTGTAAAATTCCCTAGGGAGAGTGTTGGGGCATCCGTCTGTGCATCCTGCATAGCACCAAAGGGTCTCAGTGAAGCCCTCAACAGGCAGCAGGGAAACAGTCCTGCTTTCCACGTGTCCTCCTGAGCACCTATGAAACTGTTTGCATAAGCAAGTGGTCTTCCCTCTGACTTCGCCCTCTTTTTCTTGCATCTGTCTGGCAGGAACCTCTATAAAATACTGGACAGCTGCAAACAGCTGACCGTGTCCCAGGCAAGTGGAGAGGAGGACACCACGGGAATGGTCACCATCATCACGGGCTTTCAGCTGGAGGACCCAAGTGTGTTCTCAGCGCCCATGCAGGTCAGTAGCTCTTTGGCTGGCAGAGTGGAGCTTGTCTGCTTCCTAGCAAGATTAGAATCTGGTTGGTTGTGGGAGATTTATTTATTTTTTTAAAATATTTTCTGCCTTGGGTGATAACTGTCCTGGATTTCCCAAATTTAGTTTATAAGTTGTGATTCCTGGTTCCTCAAAGGCCCCTTGATTTGTCACGCCTTTGTGGTGCAAAGTGTCCTGGGGGAGGTGGGAGAAGTAATTTGCACGTCTGTGCGGGCCTCTTGTGCCACAGCAACTTCAACACGAAGAAGAATTGGGCCTTTTAGCAGTGACAAACTCTGAGAATCTTCAAGTTGTGAAGGGCAGTCTTCTTGACAGGACAAGAAAAAAATAAGTTGTTTTGTCTCTGTTTGTTTGCAGTCTGCCATCCAGGCAGCCGCCAATGCCAGTGTAGAAATAAAAAATGTTCTGGAGTTCTACAAGCAGTGGAAAGAGATGGGCTGATGTTCAGAAAGGCATTGGGTTGGTGGTACCTTTCTCTCCCCCTCTCGGAACGTGCAGCGTCTGAACAAAGGAAACAAAAATCCGGGCGACACTTAGACATGAAGAAGCAGCAGCAGCAGCAACGATAACAAAAATATCTCTCAAAAAAAAAAAAAAAAAAAAAAAAAAGAAATTCCAATTTGGGCACGCACACAGACACCCTCCACCCGTATCCCGACCAGACGGCTGTACATCTCCGACGGCGCCAACTGCTCTGAGAAGAGAGAGGCACCTCGGCGCGGCCGAGGCAGAGCTCTGCCCTTCTCCCAGTCGGCAGAGATGGGCGAGAGACGGGCAGTCATTCATTCCTCCCCCTCACTCCTCCCCAAAGCTTGCTTGGTCATCCGAAGTGGGCAGGCGGCTTCTGAAGCGTGGACTTGACTTCAACGAAACCAAACCAGCGCAGCGGAAACGGGGCCCTCGTAGCTTGGGAAAGAAGACCCAAAGAGTGGTTAGCTCTTGTTCAGTCATCTGGTGACAGGAAAGCAGATACTCTTTCTTTTTGTTTTTTTTTTTTTTCCCCGCCCCCTCCTCCTTTGAATTATTTTTCAAGGGGTTTTTTCCTTTTAATTCTTAGTTTATATATACATAAATAATATTAAAAAAAAGTGGAGTTCCTTTGGGGTTCTGGATACTCTTCCAGTGTCAGAGAGAAAAGGAGACAATTGTGCTATTTAAAAGGGGGGGAAAGCTCTTAATATAATTTTTTTTTTCTTTGAACAAGCATATTTATTTCCTTTCCCTGTCTCCCGTGGAGCGGGCTCAGTGCAAGGGGATGTTGGCCTGCAAGGAGAGAGCAGTCTGAAGTGCCCTGATGGGCTCGGTGCACACCCTTGCGCTCCTTACAAGCTGCATGCTTCACGGGCAACGAGAGATGGGCCGGGCTGCTCGAGAGAGGTGAAAAGGACTCTGTTCCTCCTTCTGCAGTCCCACCTGCTCCTTTGCTTCCAGCATTAGACCTTGGAGAAAAGGAGTGGAAGCCAGCAGAGTTGCTGGAAGAGAGAGAAGAGCTGCGTGGGATTTAAAGACCGATAAAGCTCGGCTGCTTGGCTGGAGTGCTGTGACCCTGGGATGGAGCAGACCTCTCCGAAGGACCCAATGCTGCCTCTTCTTTTTCTTTTTTTTCTCTTTTTTTTTTTTCTTCTCCTTTTTTTTCTTTTAAATCTTGCAATGAGGTGTGGAGAAGGAAGGAGGATCTCAAAGCCATTATCTCTTCTGCTGGTGGTTCCGACACAGCACTGCTGCTATGCCATACTAGAGAGGGTGGCAGAACTGGAGTGTTAGTGTCCCCCCCCTCCTCACGTCCCTCCAGGGCAGGCAAAGGCAGCCGCTGCCCAGGAGGACGGAGCTCAAACCGTTCAGCGCTTTGAGCATCCCAAAAAGAAGGGATGCTGCTACCTGGGCAGATGCTGGGCGAGCGAATTCCCCGTGTGACCTCGTGAGGGACCTCGCAGACCTCCATCCTGACGGCATCTCAAGCACCCAGTGTCTGACGTCCTGTCCCACGCTTGGAAATGAAGAGAAGGGTCGCTCCCGGGACAGCAGAGCGGTGGGAGATAAGGCTGAACGGCCTCTGCGTAGTTCACCTGTGTCGATGTACTCAAGAAACAGATGTCTCCATCCACATGAACTAACAGCAGCTATGCAAGTAAAAACCACTAGTCTTCTACGTTTGCGTGTTTTTTCACATGGGCCAGCCAGAAGCTGCTACAAAAGGGGCGTAATGCGGAAAGACAAGCAACATACTCCAATCTGTGCAGACTTCCTAGCATGGTGCGTTGTACTGGAGTGGCAGGATGTTCCTTGTTTTCAGGTAAAAACTAAAAAAAAACCCCAAAAAACCAGCACAAGTCCCAGAGGATTCATTTATATTTTAATTTCAGTTCCTTTGCAGCATGCAGCCTTGCAGCGCAGCAGAGAGAAATGCCGAGCTTGGGGTTACAGCTGGAGCTGGCCCTGCAAGGTCCCTGTGGCCTGGAAGGCGGGTGGAGGGGTAGAGGGGCAGCGTTTCCCGGCAGGTTTTCCCTTTTGCAGCTTCTCCTGAAACTGGCAGTGCTTTTCTAGGCTGAGCCAAGGAATGAACCGCAGCTCAAAGACTCTGGCTCCCCTGGGGTGTTCTTGGAGATCCGAGGTGGGCTGTGAAGCTTGTCAGTCGCTCTTTCCTCCAGTGCTACCGGTGGTTTTATTTGAAGCTATCTGTTTGTCTAGCTCATTATTTTTGTTTGATGGGGTGGGAAAAGAAAAGAGAGTCACCTTGGGGGACCGGCATATGAGCCAGAGCAGTGTGGTGAAGCGGAGAGCAGAGTCACCTCGCCTTCTGCCCCTCCGTTGGCTTGGAGGGTGCTGCTCAGCTGGGGCGAAATACGCTCCTTGTTCCGTCCAAGCCTGGCTCAGGGGTGTGGATAGCTGCTGGACTGTGCTTTTTTGTTTTTTTGTTTTTTTGTTTTTTTTTTTCTTTCTGCTTAAGAAAACCACCCACCTCCTTGCTGCAAAGTGCTTTAGAAGGGTCTGCGGTGTGCAGCTCCCTTCTGGAGGTCTGCTCGAGCTGAAGCCTGGCTGCGCAGTCCTGAGAAGTCTGTCATTCCCTTCCGGCTGCGTAGTGCGAAGCGGGCACTTGGGCTTGGTAAAGAAAAGAGCATTGCTGGGCTGAAATCAAAACAGCGAGGAGCTGAGGCACTCCCCAGCTGTGCTCTGGGCCGGGTATTCCCTTGGTCACAGCTGGATCTGGAAGGGCGGAAAGAGCAAAGCAAATAAAGTGGCAACCACAAGCTGCCAGCGGTGCCCGATGAGCTGGGAGCCGAGCGCCGCGGGGCCGGGGCAGCAGCCGAGGTGGGCGCTGTCGCCCCCTCCGTTGGCTTGGAGGGTGCTGCTCAGCTGGGGCGAAATACGCTCCTTGTTCCGTCCAAGCCTGGCTCAGGGGTGTGGATAGCTGCTGGACTGTGCTTTTTTGTTTTTTTGTTTTTTTGTTTTTTTTTTTCTTTCTGCTTAAGAAAACCACCCACCTCCTTGCTGCAAAGTGCTTTAGAAGGGTCTGCGGTGTGCAGCTCCCTTCTGGAGGTCTGCTCGAGCTGAAGCCTGGCTGCGCAGTCCTGAGAAGTCTGTCATTCCCTTCCGGCTGCGTAGTGCGAAGCGGGCACTTGGGCTTGGTAAAGAAAAGAGCATTGCTGGGCTGAAATCAAAACAGCGAGGAGCTGAGGCACTCCCCAGCTGTGCTCTGGGCCGGGTATTCCCTTGGTCACAGCTGGGCATGGGCTCGCCTGTCCCTGTCCTCGGCCGGACCGGTGGCTGGTTTGGGCCGGACACAGAAGGCAGTTTAAGAACAAAAGGAAATAAACTTGGCATTGCTGTAACAAGACGTCGTTGCGGAGCTGCAGCGAGCTCGCTTAGGGGCCCCGCAGCAGAAGCAGAGGGATTCCTACAGGGCAGCAAGGCTGTTGCCTGACTTTCTGCGTTACCATCCCTTAGTAACTGAGCCTCTGAGGAGTTGTTTTGATACTACCCTGATGTTTGGCACACCTGGAGAGGAGGAAGAGGCCCTGACTCTTCAACGGGGCATCTGAACTGCCCAGTCGTCTGTCTGGGCTGATTGGGGAGGGATAATAACCTTGTAAAAAAGGCACCTGAAAGATCCCTGTGCCACCCTGCTTCCTCTCCAGAACATCCAGCTGTGGCTGAGGACCTGATGAATTTCCTTTATTTTGGATGCGCTTCCCCAGTCAGAGATCCACAGAGCTGACAAAGCGAGAGACTTCCAAGCTCCGGGACAGCGAAGCGGCCTCGGGGCAGGCGCCGAGCTGTGTCCTCCGGCAAGTGTTGCCTTCTCCTGGAGGCTCAACTCAACATCTTTAGGACTGGGGTAAAGGGAGGCACTTCTGAACCCCGATCCCAGCTCTCGCGGTGGGTCGGAGTCTGCTCACTGGGTATGAATCGATCTGGATCAGTCCGAGGGCCGGTGCCAGTTTTCCCCCCACGGATTTGGTGCATCGCTTCCACGTCCCAGCCCAGAAGCCGAGAGCAGGAGGCCGCTTTCCCTGTCCTGTTTTGGTTCCAGACGCTCAGCAGTTCTCCGGGCCTGCGGGAAACTCAGAGGTCGACGGGGAGGCTCCGGGGAGCGTGGGCTACTGCTCTGCCCATGGCTCCAATGCGCTGTGGCTCGGGTTTCCCAAGAGCTCCCCCCACCGTGTTCATACCAGCCCGAATAGTGAGGCAACGATCGAGCCCTGTGGAAGCCAGCGCGGGTCCGCTGCTGCTCCTCACGGTGCTGTTTCTGTACCAGCTCAGAGCTGGCTGAGCCCAGCTCCAGGCTCATCCCGTGCTGGGAAGGAGAGTGAAAAGAAGGCTCTTCCAGGCTGAAAGCTTTGTTTTCCCGGTGTTTTTGTGTGTTCCTTGGGTTTGATTTGCTTTTCGTTACCACCGTGTTGAGCTCTTAGAAGTCTGTGGGGTGGCCCCGAGCTGGGAGAGCGCAGGTTTGCGGTGGGGAGGCTCGCTGGAGGCAGCACGGGGCAGGGGGACGGGGGCTGTCCCCAGGCCGTGGTTGGGGACACGGCCACTCCGGTGCTCGCCGCGCTTCTGTGTGCTTTCACAGGCTCTGCCAAGCGCCTCTTCCTCCTCCCGTCCTCGCTCTGCTCCATGCCGCCTGCAACGCCTTGGATTTTCACTTGCATCTTAGATTTATCGTTATTTTTTTCTTCTTCTTGATGTCCAGCAGAGCTAGCTGGTCTCGCTGGGGCTGAAAACAGTGGGGGCAAAAGGGGGGTGGCGGCGAGAATGGAGGAGGGCAGCAGGGGTGGCGCAGGACCCCCGGCTCCCTGAGCCTGCCTCTGTCTGCTGGCAGGGG